GCATCAGATCGCCTCGCCTGGGCAGCGATGATTTAAGATGTTCATGAAGCCGGCTCATCCTCCCGTAGGAGATAGCCGAAGTAAAGTAAGTAAGTATTAACCGTGTTTCTATATTAGCTCATTCTTTTATTACCTGATCAATTATCTAAACTTCACAAACCTCATGTACACACACACAAATAATTATGTATAGATGCGATTGTACAGCTATGTGAATGAATTCGCCGAAAAGAGTTTCCTCGCTGAGCGTCTTCTCTTTTTCATATGACTCAATGGGGATTTTCAAGCATATATTTGTGCCGCTAGTTTTTATTTCGGTGAAAGCATAACAAAATAATGCCAAGGACGTATTAATCAGTTTCATTTCCGATATATCTACTCTCTTTTCAAGAAGTTATATTACGATAATGCAAAACAGTATTCAAATTTGATATTTTTCACATGACGTAAGTGTAAAGCCGGAAGGAAAGTTCCACAGTACTGTGTCTACCATTCTCAAGATACTGAAACATGTCTACTTGCTAACCTAGGCAGCATTCTACCGAATAGGTGGAGGGATCTTTTAGTGTGTTGATATAAGAATAAGAATTGTGCACTGTGGCAGAGTATAATTCCATTATGGGTAAAATTTGTTTTGATAAAGTCTCACAGTGTTATACAATACAGTGATATTTACTGATGACCACGTTTCGAGAACAATTTATCATTGCTACTCATGATCATATCATGGCACTAATCACACAACTTTCTAACTTCGTGTAGATAATTCCATTATTTTCCACCGCTTGATTTGATTGGTAGTAGTAGTATTTTCCATATTTCCGGTATGAGTGATGAGTCATTCCTATTGCATGTGTTGGTTGTAGACTCGATGTGTTGTACGTATTCTCAAAACAAGTGTGAAACAAGTTCATTATCCCAGTGTATAATATCCACTATAACTGACTTTGGTATCAGAGCCTTAATATCACGATTTGAAATCATTCTGTTTGATTCGACGTCATATATTTTTTTCCTATCTATTTTATCTATTAGTTTTCTGATGTAAACTAATCGCTATTTTCACCCCTATGCACTAGTGTTTGAAAAGTTTTTTAGTGGTCTCCACAAAGCAACTGCAACTTCTGTCCTTTATGAAAGAGGTACAGTTAAAACCTAAGAATTTAGATATGATAGAGAAGATTTGTAGCTCAGGTGGATGATTTTGATGTGGTTTTGTTCTCTGAGCTGGGTGGTTAATTTGCGAAGCTTTCATCACCCTACTGGGTGACATCTTCAGCGCATACTTCAATTTGAAGTGAGCTTTTAGATTTCTCCGCGAGTTTATTAATCATCTCTCCTGATGACCTTGGACGTGATTGGTTGTTTATGTGTGTTTTCACACCTTCTAGGTTACTTGTATTGGAACTGACTGTTTCTTTGACTTGAACTTTGACCCTTTGTGTGTGAAGTTTCTTTCTTATCGGTTGATAAATTTTGTCTATCTCTATGTGTCTATTGATTGATGATTCACTGGAATGCCAAGCTTCTAAAAATTCTCTAGCATTCTTGTTGTTTCCTCTGTCTAATATTTGAACTTGAATAAAGCGAGAACAACATTGATTTGTGCAGTAACCCATTGCGCCACGGAGACTCTGTACTATAGAGCGAGGAGAATATGCTCTGCAGAAGAACTAGAGGAAGAATTCACGAATCTCGAAAAGGTGCTGAAAAACAACGGCTATCCTCAAAAATTCATTAACAAATATGAAGATGTGAAGGCCCAAATACCAAACATCACAGTCGAAAAAAAGCCTGTCTTCATTCAACTAGATTTTAAAGGTGAAGACATTGCAGAAATGGTCAACAGAAGACTGAGGACGTCACTAGCCAGAGCCTATCCTGCAGCTAAGTTAGTTCTACTGAATAAATCAATGTTGTTCTCGCTTTATTGAAATTTATCAAGGGGAATAAATGCATAATATTTGAACGTTGTCCCAGTCGAATTGATGTCCGTGGTTGTCTGAATGCAGTGATATCAGGGAGGGAGTGGATATCGTGTCCTTTGACGGCTAGCTTATGCTTGTGGATGCGAAGACGAACAGCAGGGACGTCCACTTTGGCCAATGTAATGTTTTTCGCAGGTGTTACAATTTATTTTGTAGATGATGTTGGTTCTATCTTCTTTCGTTTGCTGTTGAGTCTTTTGGTTGACATAGAAGTGAGTGAAGCGACTTTGTTGGTTTGTGTGCGACGTCAATTCCAAAGCAAAAGCCACCAAGGAAAGCACAAAGAAAATCGCCTTGCCATATATAAAGGATATCTCAGAAATCACTACAAGACTCTTCAAACCTTTAGGAATCGACGTCGTACACAAACTAACAAAGTCACTTTACTCAATTCTATGTCAACCAAAAGATTCAACAGCGAAGGAAAGAAGATAAAACTAACATCATCTACAAAATAAATTGTAACAACTGCGAAAAACATTACATTGGCCAAAGTGGACGTCCCTGCTGTTCGTCTTCGCATCCACAAACATAAGCTAGCCGTCAAAAGACACGATATCCACTCCCTCCCTGATATCACTGCATTCAGACAACCACAGACATCAATTCGACTGGGACAACCAACGTTCGAATATTAGACAGAGGAAACAACAAGAATGCTAGAGAATTTTTAGAAGCTTGGCATTCCAGTGAATCATCAATCAATAGACACATAGAGATAGACAAAATTTATCAACCGATAAAAAAGAAACTTCACACACAAAGGGTCAAAGTTCAAGTCAAAGAAACAGTCAGTTCCAATACAAGTAACCTAGAAGGTGTGAAAACACACATAAACAACCAATCACGTCCAAGGTCATCAGGAGAGATGATTAATAAACTCGCGGAGAAATCTAAAAGCTCACTTCAAATTGAAGTATGCGCTGAAGATGTCACCCAGTAGGGTGATGAAAGCTTCGCAAATTAACCACCCAGCTCAGAAAACAAAACCACATCTAAACCTAAGGATACCATAGATTTACTGCTACAATAATATGGCTGTGTAATTAATTACAAACAAGAAGGATAGTGATAATCAACAGGCATATTTCAGGAAATATGTTTACACGGGGAAACTTTATGTCCTAGAGATACCCGACAAAGAAATCCCATAAGTATAGATAGGAGAATTAACCTAAAGAATTACTATGTCCCACACGACGTTCCAGTGACATTATGCCTTTATTTGTAAAGAGTCTCACCTCTATCGATAGAACTCTGCTGATTTGGAGGCCTTGTTATTGGTTTTAAGTTTGTATAGGTGGCACTGGAAAAAAATGATTCCTAAGTGGACACTGAAACATATGACCTAAAATATCCAAGTCCAGAGAGCATTAGATTGCTATTACAATATCTGCTGTTATTTTTGTCACTCACCTGAATTTCTTAATATGATTTTTTTATTCCTTTTTGTATCAAGAGGAACATAGGGCTTCAGGCTAGAGGCCTGAAGTTTCTCTAGCAGTGGCGTCTATTTTTACAAGATGGAATTGCTGGCCTCATCCCCAAACTTCCCTCTTTACCAGTCTAATAACTGGATTAGCAAGGTAAAGGAATGTGTCAGTGGCCGGGAATCGAACCCTAAACCACGTAGGCTTGGTTGGAGAGCATTCTACTGCTGTGCCACCGACGCACACAATATGATTATAGCTCGGTGAAATAATCATCCTAGTTGTCATTGTTGATTTAGTCACTACAACTTCCAAGTCTAACTGCGATGTAAAGGTAATAGTTGTTCATCGAAGTTACCAAATTTTATGCTAACCGATTGACTGAGTTTCAATGTAGAACTTTGCATGGAAGTATAGCTGTTCAATTTGTCACAATATGTTGCACACAAAGTCAGACAACAGAAAGAAAAGAAATTCAAAAGAACCACAATAATTACGTGGAAAAAACATGAGGGTTTCCGTAGGGGTAGTGGAATTTTCCAGTTGTTGGGTAGACAGGTGTTGAATCATTCCTATTACATGTATTTGCATACTTTTTTATTTTTGATTACAGCTTGATTCCACACTGTATTTTTGGTGCAAGTATGGAATTTTCGGCATGGATATCGGTAGCCCAAATTTCGCAGGCCGACCATAGATATCAGGTGTGCGTCAGCAGGGGATCGAACCCCGGACCATGTGCATGGTCGGCGAGAGTCCTAACCACTGTGCCACCAACGCACAGTATGGGAGATCAAAAAGAGCTGAATGCATCAGCGCTGTCATTGAGAACGAGTTAAAGCCGTATCACCAATAGTCTCTAGGCATTGGTTCTAGTCATGTAGCCCACCCGTACCTACGTGGTTCAAGCCACCTGTCAAGGACCTTATCGATTGATTCCAGGCTTTAGTTTGACCACGCCTAATCTTTTCCCAACGTAATCCTATGCCATTTAAAAGCCTGTAGACACACGCGAAGAAGATAGAGTCAAACCGCTCCGATGCCAACCTACTACAGGTTTGAACCTTGCATCCCCGATCATTGAGGGTCATCCTCGTGATTTAAATGCACTAACATTACCATTTGTATCTTAGTATTGGTTTGTAGGGATTGATCGGTTACGGGATTTCATCATGAGCTGACGTCGGTTAGGTAGCCATTGAAAAACCTGTTGGGGAGTACTGGATATAAGTTGGAATTCATGGGCTGGCCATTGGATCAGGTCGAGTTGAACTTGTAACCAAAAGGTCGGGGGTCCGAACCCCAGCGGGTGCATACTGATGAAGAGTCCCAAACCAGGCTGATGAAACAGCTGTCCAGTACTCGTCGATGGTTTACCAATGGTTCTCTAACCAAGTCAGCTCTTGATGAAATCCTGTAACCGAATACCATTTTGTTTAATTGCCCCGTAGTTGTTTTAGTTTGTGAGTGTGTGTGTGTGTGTGTACATACGTATGTATCCGTATTTATACCTGAGCAGCTTTTGTGTTTTTTAAATATTCTTTCATAATTTAGATCATTTATTTACTAACATGAATAAATAATGTCAGCTGCAGAATCATTTGGCGACTCATTAAATGCTGTGATCAATTCACCAGAAGCTGTACAAATAATTCAACAACAAGAAATAATGCTTAGTAAATTTGAAAAAACAAATGAAATGCTTCGTACAGTCTCTGAACTCTCTGAAGGAAGATATCGTATTCTATGCCAAGAGTTGAATACGCATACAAAAACTATTCTATCTTTGAAAAAAGAAATGAACGATGTGTTTAAACGTATTCGATCCATCAAGAAACTATTGGCCACCTATTTTCCAGACGATATGGAAAGACTTAGCCAACAGCTGGCTAGCAGGAATAATACTGAAGATGCAGGCGATGACTGTAATCCTGTACTACACAATGCTGTTAGTAGTCGATTGTCAGAAGCATGTACAATTCCTAAAGCGATGGAGACAGTTTGTGAAGACTCTTCTTTAGAATGAATTATTGTTTATAACCTTTTCAGAGATGTGATATAATCATACAAACACGCATAATAAATACTAATTTTTCACTTTTCGCTTCTGTTTTTGCGTGGTTACGCAATGTTCAAAGTCTGTTTGTCCTTTCGTTTTTAAATATAGTTGTATTTATCTAATTTTCAGTCGAAGCGTCGGTGGTGCGGTGGTAGAATTGTAACGACAGAAGAAGACAAGGGCCAGACAACAGATCGTTTTTCATTAAATTTCAGATTTTCCCGTCGATTGATTGACATGTCAGCTTCTTGTGTAGATGGTTCGACGATGTCTGGGCATGTAATTAGAAATTAATTGGTGGATGGTGGGTGACTAGCAGTGGAATCCAGGATAAATGCACATTTCTTCTTATTTGGGACTCGTCAGCAACTGGATGTACCTGCATTCCCCAATGACTGCTGATGTCACCTTCCACCAATCAAATTCTTATTACGTGCCCAGGCATCGTCGAAGAATCTGGGCAACAAGCCAACAGATATGTCAACCTGATACCGAGCACTTCGGTCCAATCAATCGACGGGAAAATCTGAAATTCAATCAAAAATAATTGATGTGACCCGTTACATAGGAGATGGCTCTCGTGGCTCAAGTAGTCTAGTGGATAACGCTTTGGCGTTTGAAACTATGGGCACTGGGTTCGAGCCTTGATGGGAACAGCATTACTGAGTCACTGGAGAATGCAGGTACACCCAGATGACGAGTCCCAAATAGGACGAAACGAGCATCTTGGATTCCACTAATAATCACCATCCACCAATTAAATACTATTAATACCTTATTTCTACACCACAATAGATCATCATTGTACACTTTTCTCTCACTGTTCATTAAGAAGCATTCACTGCATAAGGCTAAAACATAAGTGAATAGAGCCTGTTGTAGCAATTAAGTTAACACCATCACTGCAAATTGAAATCATCAAAATTTTGATAGGTTGTTTAACATTTTGGCTGGAATGTGTCATTAAAACTAATACCTTGGAGAATACTTCAGTATTCAACATGCATAGTGTTAATAGAGCACTCCACAAGCAATCGTCTACACTCATCGGATATCACCTTCGTCACAAAGCAATGCTACAACTCGCTAAGATTTTTGTTGAGAAATAGTACTAACTAAAGAAGAACTGGATGCAGAACAGTACTATTGTAACGATAGAAGACAAGGCCAGGCCAGACAGATGGTTTATTGAGAAAATCCACAGATATTTATAGATTTTAATGTACATTATTATTAGCGTTATTGTTAGCAGAGAGGTGACGTCTTTCGATTGGTTGTTTTCTTTCTGCTTATGACCGTTTCTTAGAAAATCAAGCCATATATCTGCGAATTGTGTCCGCCCACACTAAGTCTGCTGCGATTGGTTGATGAGTTCCTCAAGGTTAAGCTTAGTTATTGTTTTTTTCTCATGACATTGATTCGGGACGTGAACGTTGATGTGAATTGCTGTCAATAACTTTTGGCTTGCAGTTAGCTCTCACCACAGAATAATGCTCACCAACCACGCCTCACATCGTCCAAGAGTTAGAACCCCCCCCCCCATCAACTAACGCACTCCTCTACCCATCTTAGCTGGTGGTAAGCTTGGAAAAGAGAGGAAGTTGCACGTGAGACTAGTCACTCCCACCCTGTGAAAATAAAACTACTGCTACTGAAACGTCAAAATTTCAGCTTTCAAGCCGCCATGTTCCTTTCGGAATGCAAATGAATACGGGAGTATGATACATCTGATGAACAAACTAATTCTGCGTAAGGTTTCTGAAGTATGGAATTACTACTGATGATTTAGATTCTTTGTTGTTGGTGTTGTCTTGCGCACATGTGACATGCATGTCGTCATTATCATTATTATTATTATCACTATCACTACTATCATTATTTATTTTATTTTTACACTTCCTTACACATTTCCTGACTAATTTTTCAGGGTAATTATTAGGTTTCAAGGCTTCTCTTAAATGTATCACTTCCTGTCTTAGATTTTCCTTGGTACTACTTAGTTTTTGGGCTCTGTCAGTTAAACATTTCACCAATCCTATTTTTACTGACATAGGATGGGATGATCGGAAGTCCAAATATCTGTTTGAATATGTGGGTTTCCTGTAAACACACTAGTGTGTTTAACTTCCCATCTTTCCTTTTTACGTTGCAATCTAACATTGGGAGCTCCCCTTCCTGACTTTCCAATTCATAAGTGAATTGAATTGCCTCCACCTTTGAGTTAATGTGTTCGAAAAATCTATCTATATCTTGTGTTCAGTGTACAGTGAATGTGTCATCTACATACCTCCAACATGCTATGTTTTCCCACCTATCCATGAATATATATCTGCTACAACCGGGGATATTGGTGGTGATGCCATGGCACCTCACTCAGTTTGTTTGTATATTTTCCCTTGAAAGAATTTAAATACTGTCGAAGTCAGGCATAGCTGCACTCCCAGCATTATGTCGTCCTCAAGTGGGACTTACGTCCTAAGTTCAAGATCTTGGTCAAAAATGAGTTCGTTTTAATAACTGCTGCCTCTATAAGCCATATTTATTTTATTTTTTAAATTGTCTTGTTTATTTTCAGAATGTTTTCCTGTCTACAAATAATCAATGTTATCCGTCAAGATTTCAAGTCGGCTCGTTCAACCCTCTCCTACTTACTGTCTGAAACTAAACAATTGACAAAAATTGAAACTCGAGCAGTTCGTGCACTCCGCATCAGTTTTATCATCTTGCTTTGTCTATTCTACTTATTAATTGAATGTAATCTTAGTAACAGGTTAGTATTGATTTTATTTTGCTTGAAAAATAATAATCATAATCATTTTTAAAAAAATTTTTCTAGTTTAACACTGACAGCATTTACGCATTTGTTGATATTCGATTTACTCTCTGTGCTTGTTGCATTGGTAAGTCTATGGACATATCGTAAAAAAGCCTCAGTGGAATCCTACACATTTGGTTATGAACGCTTTGAAGTTGTCAGTGTATTCGCTGCGACTATTTTAGCAATTCTCTTATCATTTTTTGAAATAAAAGAAGCTGTTGAACGGATATTTGAACCTTCAGAGGTGAGTGCACTGTGTTATTTATTTATTTGTTTCCTTTCTGTTTTATTTTCCCCCTATGATTTATTGATTTGGGAAACCTAGTTTATTCGTTTGTAGGGATTTGATTGATTCGTTACAGGATTTCATCATGACTTGACATCGGTTAGAGAACCATCGGAAAACCTGTCAGCGAGTACTGGACAGCTGTTTCGTAATCCTAGTTTGGGACTCTTCAGCAGTTGCACCCACCGCCAGGGTTTGAACCCCAGGACCTTCTGGTTACAAGGCGAGCTAACTCGTAGACCATTAATCCACCGGGACCCGAGCCAATGGTTCTTGAATTCTAACTTCTGCCAATTCACGACAGAGCGGAAACGCTAGCCAATGTCTTCGGAGAGTATTCGGCCTCACACCTGACCTGCTGCACCCTACTGGTCACGACTTCTCACTAGAACCCCAGGATATATATGTATATATAAATTGGGTCAAATCCTAAATGTTACGTAATACTAAAGGTAGGTGAAGTGGATAAATAATCAGAGTTTAAATAAATATCACAAAAAAGTACGAAGGAAATGGCGAATAAGAAAGGGTGGGAGGGTTTTGATTAGAATTTACCGCCTAGGCTAGGTAAGGGAGAGACAAAGGTAGAACAAACTTCTTTTGTATGCAACGACACTGGAATTGTTCTCTCGAACTAATTCCCACAGCTTCGACTATATGTGGAAGGCGGGTTCGAAAGGCTCGATGGAATGCGATAGATAACTTTGAAGGCGGTACTATTTCTATCCACTTGGTGACCACTATCAATCAATCGTGACAAAATAGAACTTCTTATAGATTTTATTTGACGTTTTCTGAACCATAAAGGAAGATGCTCATTAGTCCGTTTGTTAAGCTGTCTAGTTGTTCGCCCTATGTAGCTAGCTTTCTCCGCAGGAGGAACTAAATTTATAGATACACATAGAAGTGGCACAACTAGAGGTAGCTTGTCTTTCGCTTGAGCAATCATAATTGGTCGGCAGCTGGAAAATGACAAACAAAGGATGGAGGCGGCGGCAGTATAAGTCCGTTTTATTGCTCTCGATATTCTCAGATGTAAGACTTCACTAGACACGTCCCCATTAGATCGCAATTTCATGGACAGTTTTTTTTTAACTGTTGTCAGTTTCTCTTTCTTAACAACCCACAACCACACGATAGCGTCGGGGAGGGTTAAGATACTAAGAAGTAATCTAGGTAGGTGGAAAGAGACGTTGATCAGTGAGTCTTTGTTCATCGAGTCTCCGACCAACACGTGCAATAGGAATGACCCATCACTCATACCGGAAATATAGAAAATACTACTACAAATCAAATCAAGCGATGGAAAATAATGGAATTATATAAACGAAGTTAGAAAGTTGTGTGAGTAATGCCTTGATATGATTATGAGCAGCAATAAATTGTGCTCGAAAGGAGGTTATCAGTAAATATTACTGTATAACACTGTGAGACTTCATCAAAACAAATTTTACCCATAATGGAATCATGTTGGGCGTCTGTGGGAGAAGTTGCACTGCTCAGATGATCAGCAAACCATCTATACTTCATCTCCATTCTGGAGAGAAAAGGGGTTAGAAAAAGTCGACCCTGCAAGTTTTACATCCCGATTTACCTTGCGGCTGCCTGTAGCCCCTTGAGGTAAGGTGTAAATACGGACACAACTTCAAAAAACCACTTCTAAAATACAGCGTGTAACCAGCCTCAATCAATTATCCTGTGAACTTTCCAGTCAAGCATCACTGATATTCTTGGTTGGGTCCTCGGGACGGTAAAAATCATTGCTGGAAACAATTGGTCATATGGCTCAAAACCGTTCTCGATGACTGGTGCAGATGCATCCACTCCTTGTGACTTAAGATTTCCAATGAAACTATATTGGTC